AGAGTGAAGAGGGGGCACAGCGCAGGGAGCAGGGGGTAGCCCCAGGCAGAGCCTGGCTCAGCTGGTCCACCTGCACAGCCTCCTCCACTGCCATCAGATCCTCCGCCATAACACACTCCTCCACTGCAGCCCCAGCCCCTGCCGCAGCCCTGTCAGGAGCTGGTGAAAGAACCTGCGGCGGAGAGAGGAGCGGGGGGTGAGAGAGACAACTGCGCAGACACGAAGGGCAGGGAAGAGGAAGGAGAGGGAGGAGGTGCCGGAGCAGAGATTCCCCTGCAGCCCGTGGTGAGGAGCACGGTGAGGCACAATGTCCCCGTGCAGCCCATGGCACCTGAGCAGAGCTCGCCTGCAGCTCATGGAGATGGAGCCGTGGAGGACCCCACACTGGAAGAAGTGACTGTGCTCGAAGGAGGCCATGACTCTGTGGGAGGGACCCACACTGGAGCAGTTGTGGAGAACTGCGGCCCGTGGGAAGGACTCAGGTTGGAGCAGTTTGTGAAGGACTCTCCCGTGAGAGGGACCCCACGCTGGAGCAGGGGAGACTGTGAGGAGCCCTCCCCTGAGGAGGAAGGAGCAGCAGAGACAACACGGGATGGACTGACCCCAACCCCCATCCCTGCCCCCTGCGCCATGGGTGGGTGAGAAAGTAGAGAAATGGGGAACAAAGCCTTTGGGCCCGGGAAGAAGGGAGGAGTCGGGGACAGGTGGCTTTGTAAGACGTAGTTCTCTTTCTCATTATCTTCCTCTGGTTTTGACTGTTAACAAATCCAGTTGGTTTTGTGTTTTCTCAAGTGGTGTCTGTTTCTTGCTTGTGACCATACATGGTGAATGAACCCTCCCTGTCCTTGACTCAGACATGAGGTTTTTTAGCAAGAGGCTGCAGTGGTCCTTAGTTTGCTGGGTGGCCTTAAACCATGACGTTCATAGACATACCCTATTTTGTTATTTTTTTGAAAGACCAGCTGCAAATTTCACATCCATATTTTTCAGCCTTTGAAACCCATACTGCTGAAGCGTTTAGACGGCATTTGCTTTGAATCATCTTTAGAAGGTGCCTGATGTGGTTCCAGAAAATGTTTTAAATACACATATATTTTCCGTTGTATCAAACTGATACTTCAAAGAGTGTTGCTGCAAATCACAACTCAGAGTTTGCTGTCAAGTTTTATTACAATTGAGACTTGGGCTTGGGATCAGCAAAACAAAGGCATCCTGGTGTAAACATAAAATATCTATTCACAAAGACCATGTTATAAAAGCAAACATGGCCTTTTTTTTCTCTAGACTGTGCTTGAACAGCCTCAGTCATGATAGAGGGGTTTAGGTGTTATTAACTGTACAAATCTAAATAAGCGATGAAGGGATTGCTTGTGATTTCAGAACATTATCACAACAAAAAGAGAAGGATGTAGACCGTCAGAGGAAAGGAGTAGTAAATGAGTACTAAGAATCAAGTTTTCCTTGATGATATGTGCAGTATTCCAGATCAGGCACACCCTTCCAAGACCATCCAAATGCAACTTGAATCTGTTTTCCTCACAGGACTATTCTAGCTTTCCTACGGAGTTTTTCTTAGGCTGTAAAATAGCTACTTTTGCTGACCTTGTTTTCAAGTGGTATCCTTCTTCTGTTGAGAGCTAGATGTCACGCTCCAAAGATCTGGGTCCTAACCCTGTGTCTTCTGTCAGGTCTGTATGGCCTTATATAAATCACTTCATCTCTTGGTGCCTCAGTTTTGTCAGCTGTGGAACAATGGTATGAATTATATTTGACTATCCCTCAATGTGTTGCAAGGCCTACACAGTATTAGTAAACCTCAATAACATTGTGGTTTGCAGCAAATTTGTATTTGCAGAAGCAGAACAGTACACTAGGTGTAAGCTCAGCTGGCAGAAGATTCTACATCAGGACCACTTATCTTTAATCATGAGATGCATGGTAGGTGTGTTACAGCTTCATATTAATAAGAGATCTAAGCCTTCCAAAAACTGTCTCTACCAAAAATCAGCTGCCTTGTGTAACCATTTTTCTTCTAGGCTGTTCTTCTAGGTAATCAATCCACATTCAGGTATATTTATGTTACCCACATGCTCTCTTTTATTCTTCTTCCAGGTGTCATCCTGGGTGCACTGTGTGGGGGTCTTCTTCGTCTGGCAACGCCTATTGACCCTGACATCATCATGTTAATAGCCTTCCCAGGAGATATACTTATGAGGATGCTAAAGATGCTGATCCTCCCTTTAATTATCTCCAGTTTAATCACAGGTAAGATCTATTAGCCATAAATACTTTAAGATGCTTGCTAAAGATATCACCTGGTTTGCTTTTTGTAATGTAGGAAGAATAATATTGTGATCCTGTCAGGCATTTTGCAGTTGCAGTGTGTATTTTAGAGTTAATTTCTGATTAACTCCATTGGCTTTAATACATAGATGCTCCACTTAATTTATTTTCAAACACATGCACACATACTACCTTCTTGAACATCAGAAATTTCTTAATATGCTGTTTCATCTAATTTCTTGATTGGACCTTAGAAGTAAGATGGCATAGCACTAGTGAGCCTAGCCTTCTTAAAGCTGTGGTGTCAGCCTGACTATGACCGGTTCGCAGCAACCAAGGGCAAAGGATGGTAAGAGCTCTCATCTATTTTTCAATGCCTCCTCTGCAATTAGATGGAATCTTAAATGGTTCTCTTCAAATTCATAGCAGCAGATATTATTCACATAAGAACTGGAGGGAGAAGCTTCAGTAATCTATCTAGTGATGAGACTTTCACAAGGACAAAAGTAGCCACCTGTAGGAAGTAATGCAACTTTGCAAACTATAAAGGATTTTGTTTGATGATTGTTGAATTGGATATTGAGTGTCAATATATTTGTTTGTTTCTTAAAATAAACACCTACAGGACTGTCTGGTTTAGATGCTAAAGCAAGTGGCCGATTGGGTACGAGAGCCATGATCTACTACATGTCCACCACTATTATTGCTGCTGTGCTGGGTGTGATTTTGGTTTTAGCCATCCATCCAGGGAATCCGAAACTCAAGAAACAGCTTGGTCAAGGGAAGAAGAATGATGAAGTATCTAGTCTGGATGCTTTCTTGGATTTGATCCGAAACCTGTTCCCTGAAAACCTAGTCCAAGCATGCTTTCAGCAGGTAAATTCTTCTGCTCTCCTTGGTAATATTTTTTTACATCTTTTACTTACCAGGAATTTCTCTAGAATTAATGTCATTGTTTAGGTGAATGACAGAAATGATGATGCAAAGAGAAATACAGGTAAATGCAAAACCATTCTTTATAGCTGTGTTGTTTTATGTTGTAGCTACTATTTAAATTCATAGGTTTTTTTAAAGGAAATGATTTTTAGCTTGTTATTAAGTAAACTTAATTTTTTTCCCCACTTTTTATGTACTATATATGGTCATGAATGCTGGCTTGGGGCTGAACAGCTGATGAATTACGGGATTTTTCACCCAAGTTGAATTTGATCTTGGTTGTTAGTTACAGAGCAGATGGTTCTGCAGTGCCCTGTTTGTTATATATGGATGATCTTCATTCCAGCTGATTGCCAGTGGAAATGTACCCCAAAACCCAGCCTCTCATAACTTCTATTGCTGTGTTAAGAGTCCGGACTAGATGAGGATAATACAGTCAAGCGGTTGACCCACCTGCAGGTGGCTCCATCAGGCCAGGTTTGAAGCATGCTGGAAAAGAAGAATGCTTGCATCCTGTGTTGTTTGCTCTGTAGGTAGATAATTTTCCCTGAAAGCTTTTCACCAATGCCTAATCAAAACAGTTTCACTTCAAAGGGTAAAATAAAGAAAAAATGCACGCTTCCTAATTTCTGCTTAAGGATATTTCTTGTATGTAGGTTGCTTTTTCCTACAACTAAATTGTTTGGCAATAACACAGATGGTTTTTTTTTTGGGTTTTTTTTTTTTTTTTTGGATGGAACACATTTTGCTGACAAACCTGTTCTTAAGTGTTCCTATGTGAAGTGGCATGATAGCTAGAGCTGTGGTTATGGCCAAAGAATAAAGTGAAGAGAGGGAAGGGAGAAGAGGCTGTGGGGAGTGGAAGAACGGAGGGCAGCTTAGCCAAAAGGGCTTGGATTGCTTCACTTCTTCCATGGCCATCAACATAAAAACACATAGTCCTTGGGAGTTTAAAGAGAGAATATTCTCAATATTTCCAAATCATCACGGAATGCCAGTTATGTGGTCAAACTGTGGGTGGCTAAACATCACATGTAATGTGAAATGTATTTTTGAAAAATTGAGATGAGAGCAGGGTGCTATAGTTTTTTTTTTTCTTCCTTTCCATTGTTTGAACTGTGGAAGAGAGGAGAATTAAATTTCTGGTCAGTTGAAAATGGTCAATTATCTCAACAAAAGGACAAAAAGCAGAAGTTACCCATGTCAGATAGTTTTCCTGGAACCTTAATATCGCTTTTTCAGTGTGTGTAATATCAATGTTCAGGTCACTTCACTAGTTATGGATCACCAATTCCACTGATTGTTTTTTGAGTGAGCTTTTTGGCTTTCCAGTGTTTATCAGTTTCCAAACTAATTGCCAGTGAAAGCCTCTTCCACAAAGCCACCTTTCATTTGCAAAGTAAGTCACTGCTCCTTTCCAGATGGATCTTGTGCCTTCTATGAGCCCTTAACTCCTCAGTAAGGAGTTCAACTTGTCTCTCTCTTTATTTAGGAGGAAAATTAACTGATTTTAATAGTGTCAGCATATATTTTCTCTTCCCACATTTATACAGACTCTCTCCATGAGCATTCAGTGTTTCCAGGTTGCCTTAGGAGGCAGCAATTTTTTGCAGGAATCCTGCGAAGAACGATTTTGAAGGGTGCACAGCAGTGGTACTGTGCAACTATGGTCTGTAGGGGAGTTTTACATGCCTTCCCTTATGATCAGGCAGAAAGTAATGAAGGGGTTCACTTACAATTTTGAGACAGTTTATTTGCAAACTGAACTCTGACCCATCATGGGATTTCAGTATATCTTGAATTTTCATGTAGTCCAGAAAAAAAAAATAATCTTAATTTATAATGAAAACTGCTATTCCAGCAGAGACTTAAGATCTTATGTGCCATGAAAGAGAATGGGACTATAATCTGTAAATATGATTGTTACATTTAAATGGTTTTCTGGCCTCAGACGTTGTTGTCAGAATCTAAAGTTGATGTTAGGCTCTGCATTTTTAGTGAGCGTGGCATTGTGCAAAGAAGGGCTGAGGACCTTTGACTTAAGTGACTGTAGTGGAATTTGTGAGTGTGTAGAGTCTAATGTTTTACGTTTAATGTCTATGACTCTGCTCTTACATTCTGGATACCTCATATAAAAAATATTGTGTTGACAACATTCCTGAGGTAAAATTTAACTCTGAAAAAATGTAAATGTGCAGGAATGTTGGAGTTGTTTCAGGACAACTGAGGAGTTTCTCATACAAAGCTATGTAGGTTTTCTGTCTACATCCCCCTCTCTAGATTTAGGCAGCAGGTTTTGAAAGGAGAGACGTCGGGTATTTTAAAACCATTAGGTTAAATATATGGATTGAATCTGGATCAGCATCCATAGTACTGCAATGCCCATCTCAACAGGAAAGGTGCACATGTTAGTTGAAAGGCTAATGCACCATTTCTGATGCCTTGATCAAACATGTTTCTAGTAACAAAGAAAGACGGGAGCAGATGGGAAGCCGTGTCAAACTGGTCATAGCTTCCTAACCATTCTTCATGTCCCAGAGACATGAAGAGGCAGAAAAGGCTCAAGGTGTGAAGTGGGAGGAAAACATCCCTTCTAAAAGCAGCAAGTCACAGAGCTCTTTTTCCACTCCCTCCTCCCTTTTTTCCTAGCTGTAAACTCAAGCCTATTTCTCCCCCTATCATTCCTTCCCATCCTTGACCCCACCCTTCATGTGCCAGGAGGGGTCCAGATCCATTCAGATGCTGATGCCTTCTTTTTTGAGGTGGTTAGGTGTGATTTAATAGGTAATCTGGTAGCTTTGATAATTTTTCTCTTATCTGTCACTCACAATATTTTAACCAGAGAGCTCAAGGGACTGTGTGTATTTCATTTTGACCTCTTGCAGTCTCCAAGCGAAGTGTTGGCAATGTCCAAAATTTTTTATTCGAGTTAGCCATCAAACTAACTATATGATAACTTGAGCTGTGTAACAAGCCCTACTGCAGAGATGCTACTGTGGCTGATCTTAGAGGTGCTGAATGTGGTGTCAACATGTAACATACAATCTGTGAAGCACTGTTTGTGAACCATCTGGACAAAGGGACTAACTGTCTGTAAAATGTTACATCCTAGTGGTAAGGAAAGAGTATTTGCCATACTTTTCACACTAGAGTCATGAGGAAGACTCCCAGGACTTTGTGACACTTGGAACTATTGAAAAACAAACTTATTTTCGGAAGAGACGGTAAGAGGTTGTGGAATGCATGTCTAATAATTTAAAAACATAGTTCTATGGAATTTCAAGTGAAGACTCTGTGATTATTTCCTGATCTCCCATATGGATTGCATTCAGTCTGTTTCCATTCTCATCCTCCCTTTTTATTGCCTTCAGATCCAAACTGTCACCAAGAAGGTGTTGGTGCCACCACCCATTGAAGAACCACCTAATGTCACTGACTCTGCTTTTGCTATGATGAATGAGACAGTGCGCGAGGCACCACCAGAAGCCCAGATGGTCATTAAGAAGGGACTTGAATTTAAGGATGGCATGAATGTCCTGGGTAGGAAAGGTTTTTGCCTGTCAAATATGTGCATTGTATGTATGACACAGTTTTTGGCTGTACCTGGTCAGCCAGTACTGTCTGGTCTGCTCTTCAGTGCAAGTTTAGTCTCCTCAAATAATCATCAAATGTTATCACCTACTGGCTGCCCTTTGGTCTCTGAGATGAAACTCTAATGGTCTTCCTAGAAATAACGACTGTATCACAAAAACAATCAAATGAATTATTCTGGATTGGCAGCTTTGCAGATATTAATTGGAGTACAGTGGGGAAGCATGTAGGAGGTACCCAGAATAGCCTTTCACCCTAGAAGTAGCCTACTTAAACTAATACTAACCCATATAGTCAAAACAGTTTTGGGGGAGAGCTTCAAGAGCCAGTTGGTGCTTTACTCACTCCCTGGTGAATTTGAGCTCAGCTGTTTCCAGTAGGTGTCTCGGGCACACTGAACTAGGATTTGGCTTGAGGCAGAGCCTGAAGTGGGAGGTGGGGTGTGAACCGCACCACCCAAGAAAAATCCCAGACAGGCTTGACACATCTCTGAGTCACAACTCCCTCCTTCTTTCATCTTGGCTGCTGACCTTTACCAGCTGCAAATTATGAAAAACTGCTGTTGTGCCATCTTGTCTGGACAAGCCATCAGGTGGGAGTGGTACAAAGGCTTTGCCTATCTCCCACCCCTTCCTGAAGCACCTCTTTGGACTGGGGTGGGGGTGCGGGGGAGCGAAGAGCCACCACACCACTTCTGTTTTCTCCTCTGTGCCTGGACTTACCATTTTGTCAGCCCAGAGAGCAATGCTCCTCCTTCACCTTCTTACTTTCTGGATGTGGGTGAAGTCAGTGACAAATTAGCCCTCAATTTGTAGCCTCCTCAGCATGCCTATACTTGAAGATACTCATGTTCAGTGGCAGCATGTCCACAAGGCTGAGGCTGACACCTGTGTTTATAGGTGTCAGCCTCAAAGTGGGACAGTATGTGGCAGTACCTGAACTACTGCTTTATCTCACCACTAGGCTAGGGGCAAATGGTCCCTTTCAGACTCCTTACAGCTGCTCCTGCTGACACAGTGGCCGCTGTGCCTGCAGAGCTTCTCCAGGGTTGCTTGGCAGTGGCTGCTTTGCTTAGATGTAGGGGAGGTAGCATCAGTAAACTGAGCATTATTTGTTTGATTATTTGATTATTTGTTTCTCTGCAAAGCAGCCTGCTCCATCAGAGCCAGGAGCCACTATATTCTGCCTCCCTCCCAGGCTCCTCTTTCCACTCAACATCTGTGAGCAGAGGAGCTGCTTTCTTTTAAAGCTGCGATTTGGCAATCTGCACCCCATGTGAGGCAGCAGCTCATTGCTCATGCTGCTACTCTTACCTGCTATTTTCTCTTCTGGAGCGCTGCTTATGCATTAAAATGAAACAATATTTCTAGTGTGAGACATGCATTGCATTCAGTGCTGGACTTGTTTTGTGCAGGCTCTGTCATGAATAAGAAAAGATGTAGAAGGCTGAACACAATTCCTACAGAAAGGAAATACACAGTTTAGATGGGGCATTTGCTGTAGTATTTTGACAAATGACTCCCAAATATTTTTTTTTTTTGGTTTGGTGTGGTTTGGTTTTGAATGAAGAAGCGAAAATGTTGGGGAATTGCCATCCAGCTTGCATAAACTGTACAAGCCAGGCAAATTCCTGCAAATATGAACCAGCTTGACTCGTATGACTAACGTAACAGCTTGTTTGGAGCTGTTGAACAAAACCACCTACTAACATTTTCTGAAGCAGAGTCTGGATTCCAGGAAGCTACTTGGTCTTTGACTGAAAAGCTTTTCATCATTTCTCTATGCTCTGTAGCACACAAACATACGCTTCACTTCCCTGTTCAAGTGACTCAACAAAGACAGCTTGGTGCTAAATAATTACTTTACATCCAGGAGGCTGGATTAAAAAAAAAAAAAAAAAAAAAAAAAAAAAAAATTCTGATTGCTAAACCCAGTGTGAGGATGTGGGACTGCCTGTCTTTTCCCAGAGTACTGGTAGCTGAAGTTCCCTTCTCTTGAATGCTTTTGCTTCCTGATGGGTTTTTCCTTAGGAATTTCCCAGCTGAGTTCACATATTTGTTAAATACTGAACTCAAATAGTGACTGAAATTTTGTCCTCAAATTCAAACCATCTATCAGTTAATAATCCCTCTCTGGACACTGAAAATTGCTGGATGGTAAAGGTTAACATTGGAGACACAGCTCCAAAGTATTACATGACAGATGTACTTGGATGGTTTTTCACACTGATAGTTCAGTACTCCAGACTTTCGCACCTTCACATTTAAATTGAGGACCAAATGTTACTTGTATGGAATTCTATGATTATATATCCACTGATAGCCCATTTCAGTGAGGTTAATCTGTTTAATGAGAGTTCTGTGGTTTAGCGTAGAGTGCAATACCCTTCTTCTCCTCCCACCCCAGCTTCTTCATTTAACTGGAATACTCCCGGCCTGCGAAAGTTATGTTCTGGGGCTGCTTTTGCCTTTCCCTGTAATCCAGGACTGACTAGTCTGTAGGCTGTATCTGTGAAGGGGCTTTTGTAAAGCTTGAGAAAAACTCTCTTGTGGTCTCTAGTGACTGTTTTAGCAACAAAAAAAGTCTCATGATATGGAGTTGTGTTGCCTCTCCCATTTGCCAGGGGCTATGAGGTTTCTAACAGCTGCATGGTATTGAGAAGATTATGGTATGGGTATTTTTCTGATGATCAAATCAATTAAAGAAAAAAGAAAAAAAAAAGCTGGGCTGTAAAATTGGAATTTAGTAAAATATTGATGAATAAAAGATGTTCTGAATGTGATCATGAAAGTTGAAAGGGAGTCCACGATAAAAAGTCCCAAGAGATGTGTAATACACTATAGTTCTGAAAACTGGATTAGGGGATAGTATCAAAACATTGACTAGTTGCAAAACTTCCTAAAAAAACATGGGTTGACTTGCTTTTTTTTTTGTCTTGCCATTTTTTACCAATAGGTCTGATAGGATTCTTTATTGCCTTTGGCATTGCTATGGGGAAAATGGGAGAACAGGCCAAGATAATGGTGGATTTCTTCAACATCCTGAATGAGATTGTAATGAAGTTAGTAACTATGATCATGTGGTAAGTTTGTAGTTCTAACTTCTAGAACAAGAAAATATTTTTAAAAACCTCATAAAACACTAACATAGCACATAGTGACCACCGTTTGTTATTGTAATTAAATTGTTCATTTTTTAAAGCCTTGACAGGTATGTTAGAACCACCGCAGCATTATTTCTGTTCACTGAGGATTATTTGGGACCCAATTTGAAATATTTCTGAAGGTATTCTGTTCTTTGCTTACTGAAATCCAAGACATGTAGGTACCAGTAAAGGCCTTCAGATGCAAAATTGATTATGGAAGTTCATTACATAGGACACCTAAGCAAGCACGAACGCCCCACATGAGAATATCCAAATCTTCCTGGGAGGTTAGCATGGTCCCAAGGTATTAGCTAGGAGGTATAATTACGAAGAAGCCTGGAGACACACTTTATTTATTGTCTTCTGTAGTAAAAATACTTAATCACAAAATAAAATTACAGTGGTTTTCAGTGATGTGTAGTCCCTCCACCCAAAGCTTCTGCAGAATCTGTGTCTTACAACCTCTCTGCAGTGGGGTCACTGGAAGGTATCCATCCTGGTTTGAAGTACACCCATTCATAATAGTGGGGCCTGGCTTGCTTTCAAGGGAATGACTCCGCCCAATTAAGACTGAGCCCCTGTTTGCATTTCAGTGAGGAGATTCTCTTTTTTTTTTTGAGGTGTTTCTTCTGTGTGCTTCCCCAGAGCTATTTGTACATAGTGCTGAGTGTGGCTATATCACACAAACCCAGTTTTTCAAAACATAAAAATGCATTGCTGTGTTTCGGATTGTGCTACTGTCTTTCCTATCTCCTAGATCTTTGAGAGTAGAAATAGCCACTCCAACACAACACACATATCATGGCTCATTGCTCCCCGTGACTCCCTGGTGTCCCTGGAAGTGGTTTCCTGAGTTACAAGGCTGCAGTATGCCTCTTCTCTGAGGCTCTAGATGGACACAGTTTACAGAAAAGGGATCAGGGTGCCTGAAGTGCGAGTCTTCAGCACTTACCAGTGTTTCAAAGGAAGACTGTCCTCCAAGAGTGATGCAGATGGCAACAGCGATGTGGAAATGCGTAGAACAAAAGCCAGAACTTGAAGCAATGACTTTGCATTCCTGTTATGCTTCCGCTTTTCTGTAGATGAACTGTCTGCATAAAACCACAGTTGTTTTTATTCACAAATAAAAGTAGTTCTTGCAACCTGCTGCTCTTGACTCCATAGAGGGATGGTGGCTATACTCTCATAACACTCCAAGAGCTGGAATTTACTCTTACTTCACTTAGCACCCGTTGGTACACCCAAGACATAATACCTTGCCTACCGTATAAATTTTCTGTAGTAGTTGGTTTTGCAATGGCAGGAAATCATTCATGTTTCAAGTAATTCACTGTGTTTCTTTTTTACTGATGTGCTTTTTATTTCTCTTTTAGTGAGAAAGGAGATTGATGTTGGGAATTACGCTTGTTCATCTCTGTCTAGAACTTTTAAAGAATTGTTGTGGCCAGAAGCAGGGATTTTTCTGTGTGTTTGTAAAGATAAATGCACTTCTTTATGCAGAGTAACATTTTGTTTAGTTTATGTTTTCTCTGCACAGAGAACTGGAACTCTCATGGCAGCTCCAGACTCTCAGGAGCATGGCATTGCTATGCAAACATAAAACAACTCAGACATCTGGCTCTGACACCAAGTGATTCTCTATAAGAAATATGCTTTGGCAAGTTCATTGAAACATGGCTTTTTATGATAACTGCTGTAACAGCTGGCCTTGCATTTCAAGTGACTGGGGGTTTTCCAGGCTTGGGGGACGTTGCCTGAGAGACAGTGAGATGTTTCTTACAAAAAACATGAATTTATTCTGAAAATCCGTTTCCTTTGTATTGTCTTTAATTAAGCATGCAAATCACTAATCACTTTTGAAAATATACATTACCATTTATTTTTAGAGAGGCATTTTGTTTACTTTTTCTGCACATGTTACACACATTACTTTCTCCCAGCCTAGGTTTTATAAAACAAAAAGAGAAAGTGAGTGTCACTTAATCTTATATAATATTCTAACCTTTACCAGTGCAGATATAAATATTATCTTTTGTCTATGCATTTCCAGGCATTTTTCAGTATAGCTGATTATCAATTTTGTAAAATAATAATTAATTTCAATTTATTTTGTTACCAAACTGTACTACTGTTATCATCCTGGTTAAAAGTTCCATTTATGCCATTGGGGAATCACATGACTGAGGTGACAAAAACCCTGCCCTAAGTAAGAAAAGCACATAATTAATGAAGAATCCATAAACTAAAGAGCGTTTGTCCAAGTTCTTGAAAGAATGTAATGGAAGCATTTGCAGTCTTCAAGATAAAGGCAATTAATTACAACAAATAGTTTAACTTGAACAAATAATGCAGCTGCCTGAAATGGGATAAACAATGGGTTGTGAAAGGTATGTATTAAGGACAAATATGACACCACTCTTCATAATGTTCCAAGCCTGTGTAACATTATAGTATTCTTGTACGATGTTATTCCAGGATCAAACATTATTCAGGAAAAGCATATTCCATTTGATGGGATGGAATAAAATGATGTAGATGGGGAATTTGTTTGTGATGGCCATTATTTTTTAAGAAGATGTGAAAGCTATCCATTGAATATCCATGAAATCCTGATCTGCATCTCTGTGTTGAGCCGGACAGCACCCTACTCTTTCTCCAGTCTATGATCTGTTGAGCACAATTTTTATGACTATGCTGCAAAGACTAGTTCTGTCTGTGCTTCTTCTGTTTCTCCAGGTATTCCCCTTTGGGCATTGCTTGCCTGATCTGTGGAAAAATCATTGCAATCAAGGACTTAGAAGTAGTTGCTAGACAACTTGGCATGTACATGGTCACTGTGATTGTGGGTCTTGTCATCCACGGAGGGATCTTCCTGCCTCTGCTCTACTTTGTGATAACAAGGAAAAGCCCATTTTCATTCCTTGCTGGGATTTTCCAGGCATGGATCACAGCACTAGGCACAGCTTCCAGGTACACTTGAGAAATAACAGTTTGCTTTATTTTTTAGCAGATTATTAACTGCTTTTTAGAGATAATACATCTGCTGTTCTGACTTTCACTGCAAAATAATTTTATCCCATTGAATAAAAACTATTTAATCCAGACATGTTGAAATACATAAAAATAACCACATACCTTTGGGATTTTTTAGAGAGGTTATACAGCCAACTGTAGAGAGTTGGGAGACCCACTTTTTGTTTTCTTTTCTGGCATTAGCCAAATGACTTGTGCAAATTGTGTTACCTCTGTACTTGTTTCCTCAACTAGGAAACAGTGATAATTTTATTTATTCTGAAAGCATGTTAAGACCAGTTTCATTGCTTTGGGGAAAAAAAAAATAAACACTTATAGGTTTCAAGAAAGAAATTAAAAAAATCTCATTTTTCTCTTTCATCCATTTTGGCAGAGTAAGGAGACTTCATTGAAGAGCTGGGCATTTTAGACTGTTTGCTAATGCACAGAACAGACTCAACAAAGTGTGTAGGCAACTCAGTTCTCACTAATGAATTGGTGTTTTGCACTGGGGCAGTCAGTAGATCTTGTGTTAAAAATATTTTTCAGTTAACTACCATATTTTGAAGTGTTTTTCTTCAATAAATGTTTTCTTTCTGAAGAAAATTTTATCTTCCATTTTAATTAAAAAGGTGAAAATAAAAAAGCCTTGTTCAAAACTGACCATCGGAAAACTGAGCAGTTTTGATTTCAGAAAAAAATGAAAGAACTGTAATTCATCTGCCCCTTTGAGTCAACCCAAACCACTCTGCTGAACAACTTCTACCCTGATGAGCAAGAGGCTCTGAGGGGGACCTTACTGATGTGCATAAATATCTGATGGGACAGTGTAGAGAAGATGAAGTGAGACTCTTCTCAGTGGTGCCCAGTGACAGGACGAGAGGCAGTGGGCACAAACTGAAACACAAGAAATTCCATGTGAACACAAGAAAAATCTTTTTACTGTGATTTCCTGTGACAGTGGTTGAATGCTGGCACAGTTTTGCCCAGAGGAGTTGTGGAGTTTCCTTCCCTAGAGATACACAAAAATCTGTCTGGGCATGGTCCTGGGCAAGCTACCCTAGCTGCCCCTGCCTTGAGAAAGGTGGTTGGAATAGGTGACTTCCAGAGGTGCCTTCCAACCTCAACAATTCTGTGGCTCTGTGATAAACAATGCAGGATTATAGGAGATATCGTCTACTCAGGAGTTTCACTAAACCACACTTTCCCTAAGGTTTTTGTTCATTGAAGTGTTTGAGTTTCCTCTTAGATTTTCAATACAAAATTTACAGTGTCCATACAGAATATTTGTGGGGGTTTTTTTAGCGTGAAGTAATGTTTTTCTGCTGGAGTACCAAAGTGGAAAAATATAGGGGATTCTAAGTGATTCCAGCATATGGATTTACTTGAATGCTAGCTTTACCACCTAACTGCTATCCAGATCTGCATTACTGGCTAAGCAGAAGTGGACCAGTTTGTTGCATCACAGATGAGTGACCACATAACAACAGCCACCATCATATGATCTAACCTGGTACCTCTGGAAGTTGTAAATGCTTCCTATTTGGGGATTTATTAAAACTCTTTGTCTGGGGTGAGGAACCATGGAAGGCATCTACGTATTGTGCTCTTCTAATAAAGAAACCTTATCTCCATGGCCTGCCCACCTGTCCTTCCTCATGGCGGCAGAGCTGGAGGAGGAAGATATTTGCATAGTCACAGAATCACAGAATCACAGAA